AAAAAAAAAACTACAATTCCCAGAGTTCCAGAGAAAGAGGATAAATGATTGAATCAGTTTAATATTTTTCATCTATGGATATCCTGTCATCTCTTTCAACTTTCCACAAAGTGGAAAATAGTGCCTTGTAATCCATTTCCAATTCCAGTTCAAAATGCATGTTGAGGGATCAGCAAGATAAGCTATTAAATAAATATTGCATTATAATCCCTGTAAACAACTGACTCAAGAATAACCTCTACAGGAGTGTGCAGATTGCCCCATCAGAAGAAAAAATTAGTTCAGAATTATCTGATGAAGATGATGATGAGGTCAGTAATTCAATGTTTTTAGCATATAACTGCAGCATTGATGGAGCTCAGCAATTAATTAATTAATTAATTTTTAAGCTGGTATTCTTAAGGTGAAATAGTACAAAAAAAATGAGTTGCTTAAAAGGTACTGAAAAGTTTAAACTAAACAATGGAGGACAATCCCACCATTAAAAATTACAATTTTCATCTTGAATTTTGATAACACAGTCCTGACATTGTGGAAAATGTGGTTGGGCTGTACACAGATTATGAGTTGCCCGCTCTGCCCAAGGTGGTCACATGGATGGGATTTTTTCTTATTTAATATTTCCTTATTTACTCAATAATCTAGTTTGGAAGAAGTAATATTCGCCAGGGAACTCTATCATCAAATAGGATTTTCAGAGACCCAGTCTAACGTGTAACTTCTTTATTAGCTGAATTGGGTGTACTTATTGAAGTACGTCACAAAGATATAGATGATTGACAGAGAGAGATGATAACTAGGTAGATTGCTAAATAAAGATAGAGATTGTAGATATTTTATTTATTTACTTTTATATTAAATTTATCTGCTTCCCATCTCACAGTTGAGATAGATAATTGTTTTTCTCTCTTTCGCCATTTTCTTGCCAGTAAGATTAGCTATAATTTAACTTTTTTATCAGTGCTGTGGAGAAATGATTAGCAAAGCTTATCCAGAATAAACAAAGATTGTTTTTTCTCTCAACCTGTACATTTGATTAACAATATGGGAACTCCTTCATAAATACTTTCCTTGGCAGGTACCTGAATTATACTTTACAGATCCACACCAGCTGCTGCAGCTTTTTACAGAGCTGGAAGAACAGAACTTGTCTCTGATTCAGAATTCTCAGGAGACAGAGGAAACCTTGGATGAGCTCCGGCACACTTTGGAAAGCACACGCAATAAAATGTAAGCAGTTACAAATGATTGCCCATAATAATCCCTGGCAACTACAAGGATGTTCTCTGTTTCTTTCCAAACACGAGCAACTCAGCCATTATTTCTTTATCATTCAACAACACAGTATTGTTTTTCTGCCGTACTGTTAAAAAAATGTTCTCCCTCACATCTCCCTACATCTCCTGTAGCCCCAGACGTATTAGCATCTATTGTGAGAAACAAAAAGGGAAGAGACATTTGTAAGGTTCGCAAACGATTTCTTCCACTCCACTTTTGAGAGTAAAGGATCAGGAGATGTCAAGATACACCAGCCTCCGTTCACCTATTTCTGCCAGCTGCTGCATTACTTACATACAGTCTTGTGTGTTTCCATAAGCTGAAAGATTTTAAATAGTTCAGATTGCCACAAATGTTAAGAGTTACAGCTTTAGTTAAAATGTGCACATGCTAGTTTACACGATAAAACATTGTTAACAGTAATTATTATGATTTAAATACTAATATAAAGCATCTCAGCATAGAGAGCCAGTTTGGCCTGGTGGTTGAGGTACAGGAGATTGCAAATTCTAGTCCTGCCTTAGGCATGAAAGCCAGCTGGGTGACCTTGGACCAGTCACTCAGCCCAAATCATTTTAAAGGGGGGTGGTTGTGGAGAATATAGCAGAAGGAGCATTAGGTATGTTTGCTGCTTTTAAGCTACTTATAAAATAATAAAAGCAGGATAAAAATCTAGTAAATAAATAGTAAGGAAGACGATGATCAGATTAAGTTTACCCAGAATTTTTTTTCAAGTGTTAACTGGTTCAGCAATCTCAAAGACACTTGTGCTCCCTCCTGAAAAGGACCCCCAATCAACTTTATACACTTTATATCAGGAGCAGTATCCTGCAGCCACTATTCTACTGTTGTACCCAGTTCTCCCATGGAGCCAACCAGCATTTGTGTCAAGAGAAAAGTACAAAAAGCTAATTACGTGGAACAAATGGAGGGATGCTGGCAAAACATCACAAAACTTTGTCAATAGTACAGGTAATCCTGGGGTTACAAGCGATCCCTCAGCAAATGTTTGAAGTTACCAATAAGCGCACCTTAGCATTTATGAACAAGTCCCGAACCTATGAATCTTGCAGCACCATGGCAGTTGGTTGCCCTTAATGAACAACCGCAGAGGCTCTGCAACATTCATCCTGCACTTTGCTGGCCAAAATAGAGGTTCAGAGGAGTGGGCCTGCCCTCTGATGCTCCGTTTAGGCCTGTGCAGGCCTCATCCGGCACGTTGCCGGTCAAAATGGGAGGTTCGCAGGAGCGGATCCACCCCTCCAATGCTCCGTTTGGACCTCCGGAGGCATCACCCAGCACATTGGGTGATGGCCTGCAACGTGCCAGATGAGGCCTGTGCAGGGGTAAACAGAACTGCAGAGGGGTGCACATGGCTGAGAGGCTGGAAAGGACACAGCTTAGTAGATTGACACAGTAAGTGACCTGGTTGGGTGGGAGGGAAAGCAATGAGATATTTCAGTGGGTCGGCCTTGGGTGATCTTAGGCAGGTGGCCTGTTTCATCAGTAGGCCCCCCACCGCCTTCCCCACCCTGAAATATCTCATGTGCACTTAACGAGCCTCACATTCGATTAGCAAATGAGTGGGCAAAGGGAGGAAGTGATCTTGTTCAAAGTACGAGATTCACTCCCATGAATCCTTGGGTTATGAATGGAATGGGCAGGCTCCATTACATTTATAACTTGAGGACTACCTGTATAGAGGGGCTGGGAAAATTCAGGATCTGGGAGTTGAAAAAAGATGATCTTGCCAGTGGAAAGCTTCTCACTTACAGCTCCAAAGAAAATGCTTGAAAACTGAGTAAGAATTGAGCAGATATTGAATTAGCTCATCTTTCCAAGTAATTGCATGGTATAAAATTACTCATGTCAAACTCGTTCAAAAAATGACTTCATTCTTTTCTGGATTAGGGATCGTGAAATAGAACAACTGAAAATGCTTGCTATCACTCTGCAAGCCAACATCGTTAAAGAGGAGGAGACAGCAGCAGACCTGGAACTTAAAGCACGCGTCTTTTCTTTTGGGGAGTACAAAGCCGATGTTCAGGTATGCATAAACATCAAGCCAATTGATAAAGCTTGAACCTGAAGATCAGAAGGTACGTGTAGTGCCACTGAATGGTGCAAACGGGAAATGGCTACTTTTCCTCCAAGGGGAAAGATCATAAGACCATGCTCCACAGTCCACAAGATAACTTGGATTCTCTATTCTGATGTCAGAAACAATGCTGTGATCTTGTATTGGGTAAACTGATACTGGAAATCTCCATTTCATGCTATTTCCCTGACATTCTTTACCCAGATCCCAAGAAAAGGTTAAAAAAAAAACCACGGTGGAGATTTAGGTGGCCTGCTGTTGAAGTCACAACCTTGTTGAAGAAAACAGAGATCAGATGTGAACTCATCTAAGCATTTGCGTGTGCATGTATATGCAATGCTTCATGATGCTTTACGTTCTGTAGTTCTCCACATCTGGAGAGATTCAAATTCTTTCTGTATGTTTTTGGTTCTCTCCTGCTATCAAGACCCCATGTCACAGCTGGGTTTCTTAAAAGGCAGTTCAGATGGGAGCACTTTTGAATTATTAATATAATTCAAAAAGCTGATGTTAAGAGTCCCAATATCTAGATTTCTGAGGCCTGAAAGTTCACTATTGGCCCTTAATTTTCAGGACAAAATGTTGGTGAGCTTGCATCGAAAGGTATTGGAAGTCTATCGCCGCTGCATTGGAGAGAATGAGGCAAACCTGGGAACCTTGCAGATGCTTACTGTTATAGAACACCAGTTAGATGACTTACTAGAATGCCTTGAGAGAGTCCCTCCAGGAAAGATAGAACAAGCTGAGAAAGCCAAAGAGAAAGAGCGAAGAATGAGGTAAGATAAAAACCCTATTCAAAGAGATGACTCCAATATGCCTTCAACAGAATGATTACATTCCTCCTCCACCTCCTTCTGTGCATCTTCTAGTTAATCTTATTGATGCTGATATTTGTTGCCGTCAAAGCTACTTTGTATGCATGGTAAGAGCATGGTAAGAGCATCAAAGAGCCATGGTGGCGCAGGTGTTCACTCCAGGTGTTCGATTCTGAACGGCTCAAGGTTGATTCATCCTTCCACCCTACCGAGGTCAGTAAAATGAGGTCCCAGATGTTTGGGGGCAACATACTAAGAGTGCTTTAAAGCACTGTGATGCGGTGTATAAGTCCAAGTGCTATTGTTAATGCTATCAAATGAACTGGAATAGTATGACATGGATGAATCTTGTTCTCTTACATTACAGGCATAGAAATATCTGGCCTTACAAGCATCATCTGGGTTTGCTTACTAAATCATACAGGTTTAATAAGGATGCAGGAAACTGAGTTTGAACTTCAGAACCTTTCAATAAAGGTTCTGAAAAACTCTTTTTTGCAGAGTACATGCTATGGATAGTTTATCAACATACGATACCAATCCCAGAACCAGCTAAGATAATGAATCAGATAGCATTTAATCCCTCTGGAGCCAGTTCTTTTATTCCTGAAGAGGCTTTCAACATAGCATTATGTGAAGAACAAAGTTCTTAGTGGATCCAATGCTGTATATGACACAAACCAGTAGAATTCTCCCAAGAAAATTTTGGGCTTATGTGACTTGCAATGGTAACTTTTAACCTGCCCTTTTATTTGGCCAGGATGAGAGAAGAAAAGATCAGGCAGCAGAGACAATTGCAGGAAGAGAGGCTACAGCGGGCCCTGGCAAGAGCACAAGCTGATGTTAAGAAGAAGGTATGTTTATCTCCTGAGCATCTGCTGTTGCATCCTTTTGTAATTTCAGTAGTTCAGACTGTTTTTATCAATTCTCCCATCCAAAGCCTTTTGTAACTCCAGTTCAGAACTATCTGTACATGAGATATCAATAGAAGAGAATATTTGTTCTTCCAAGGTTGAAATGAGGGGTCCTTGGGGCTCTCTGAGCTTGTTTTCTTGCAGATGTTTCATTACCCAAACTAGGTCAAATCACCTAAATCAGGTATTTGAATGAAGCGGTTGAACGAAGCAACTGCAATTATTTTTATTGTTAAGGAGTTATCTTCTGTCAGGAAGGACAGGTAAAAGCACTTAGAATTAAGTATTGAATACTCCTTGCTTGAAGAAGCAATGTTTCTATTCTACTCATATTGCATGAAATAATGACAGAAGGGAAGAAGCATAGTTAGAAACTTATTTGTGGAAGGGAGAAATAAAACTCTGCTCAGAAGAAAAGGTGGTCAGGAGAAGATGGCCCTGATGTATGCTTAAGTGTAAAATGAATTTATTTGCATTATTTCAGTATAAAATGTATAGAGTTGTTCTTAAGTGTCCCTCTGATCATATTTTAGACTGGAAGAAGATTAATTTTTCGTTCTGAGCCTCCTGCTTTCAAGGAGAAAGAAGATGAGGATCAGGGGCTGATCGATAAAGAAAAAGAAGAGCTGCTCTACTACTTTACTTAGCCGTCGAAAGTTGCAAGACATTATGAAGCATACAGCAAATGACAGACTAACAGGAGAATATTCCAACAATACTCTGTAAATTTGGAGAGAAAGCTAGTCTATCCTAAGTATAGTGATATATAGTAGATCTTTTTATAGTTGTAAAATCATTTTTGGGGGTCAGTAAATTAACTTAGTGATAGAAAACGTCTACCAGTGATCAAAGATTACAGACTAACCTAAAGTCTTGCAGCTAGGAAAATAGATAGAGCAGTGACAAGTACAAATTTCTTTTTAAAAAATTCAATCTTCAAGATCAGATTCATTTTTTTTTGTAATTAAGCAGGTTTATGGATATAACAAAAATAAAGTTGAAATGAAAAAACTGAACATTAATTAATTTTATTAGTCTTTTTAACTCAGTGATTATAAATATCCATTGCCAGCAATGGACTGCCAGAATAAATCTAATGCTTGCTCTCAACAATTAGGAATTTACAATGAGTTAAAACTGAGTATATAAACTTCATAAAAGAACACATTTGTCTGTCCACAGAAGCAATTACTTATTCTTCAATAAGCAAGACTCTGTAAAGCAGAAGCACCACAACAAATGGATACAATTCACATTCTTACCAAGTTAGGGATCCTCTTTGGGTTAAAAAGAACAGTGGTCTGCCTTATTCATGCTTTGAACAAAATGTAGGCCACACCTACTGTGGAAACCACAAAATGTTTTTTTTTTGACTCAAAGAAAAGGTATGAGGAATGAACAGGCTTCTTATGGTCCACCTATTTAATCTAAATCTACCTCTGTGTCTTTATGACAGACAGATGCGCTTGCAATCCAGTTTATAGAGGATCACGATCACAGTAAGTGTGTGAACTATTCCACTGAGTTTTTGAGGTGAGAATTGTTTAGGGCAAAATGCCCCCAATTTCCCTTTAAAACTGAACCTTGGTGATGTTTAAAAATAAGCAATTTCTTCACTTTTTCACTGAGAGGTTTTATATCAGAAATAAAAACAATTTCTTTTGATAATGTAAATGCATACTAATAGGTCACGCTAGTCAGGTAAACATTTTACAAGTCAATGAAAAATAACCACTTAAGATTTTTTTTTTCTACAAAACATCCACAAATGAAATTCTGAATTAATGTAATCTGTATAAAATGCTTCTAAACTACATTCTTCTGAAAATGAAGTTCAAAAGGCACAGGCTTCAATTAGTATATTTCTATTCATGGGTCAACCTTCTTAATTTGGAATAACCTATTATGAATAATCCAAGATAGAAATTATCCATGGTTTAATAAACACAGTAGAAAATACTATTTCCAAAGCCATTCCAGACCTAATATCCTCCTGGTCTATAGAGTGAAGGAACACCCCAGGCCCAAGAACCTTCCTTCAGATTTCAACAGCTCTAAGGAAACATATTTCCTAAGGCTCCTGACTTCCAAAGCATAGATGCCCACGTGATGCACAGTAATATTTTAAGGTCCCCAGAAGGCTGTTTATCAGTCTTGCTCTGCTAGAGATGTTGCAGCGGTAATAGGGCAAGGCTGGTTTTATTTAAGCATGAGTTCCAAGAATTTAGAATGCGATGGAAGAAGGGATGATTTAGAGAAATTTGTTGCTCACTCCTTATATATTCAAAACAATTAACCTTTAATTTTTTCCTAACTGTAAATAAATTAGCAAAATTCGAAAGTTTTCCTTTGTAGGAACACTTGTATAAAAACAATGCTCACACAACTTTTTAACTAAGTTGTACATATGTATAGTTTTAATGCCATATGTGGCATATCATGAATAAAATGTTTTAAGTTCCAGACTTAAAATTCTTTTGTAAAACAATGACATCTTGCTTCTCTGCTTAGCTGAAATCTTAGTATTTTTTCTTAAAAGTCTGCACGAATTAATTCTAAAATACAGGTGTTTTAAAAACATATATATTTTAAAATGTTATTTTTAATTTTGGTCAAGTTGTTACTTTGATATGCTACTGATACTAGCTGGAAGCTTTCTTCAGCCAGATAGTTTGTAACTAAATAATAAGCAGACCATGTCATCATTAATTTGGGAGTAAATTCTACTGGAATCAGCAAAACCTATTTTTGACCAAAAAGCCATGATAGGTATATGTAATAAAGGTGGCTTTGTACACACTGTCAATACTGTTTAATATTACTGTAAACATAACCAAAGTGATAAGAAATAACATGTTAGGCAGCTTTCTCAAGTTCAGTGTAAAATGCTAAATTAGAGATAGCAAGAGCAAGAAATCATATTGCTCTACTAATTCAACCTTTACTATCCCTGAGTATGATACTATTTTAATGCTCTTATCTCTTTAAAATGTCAGTTTGCAAAAATAAATTGGTCTTCCTGCTTATTCCTTCATTTTTAACCCAAAATTTAATTAGGGATTCATTTCAAGAATAAAAGTGCTAAGCTTAATTGTTATCTACTATTTTGAAAATTATTATTCTTAATTCTTAAAATCACCGTGGGCTATCACCATTGCACTCTAATGCAGGAATCTAATTCCACCATATGCACCTTTTCCTGACTCTAAGATAGAACATACCAAGATTTCCAATTGCCTTATCAAATAAAATATACTGAACAAAATTTTTGTTGCATGATAACCATCAAGTATCCCAGCACTGGTGACCATGCTTCCATTGTTCACTTTTTCCTTTAAAAGCAGGAACAGTCGCTTATTTCTCAGGATGCTTCTGTGTCTGAATGTTCTAATGCTTCTATCTCAAACACAATCATTCAAGGTCTTGTAGATTAATGGTGCTTCCTGTAAACTGGGAATTATCAGAATTGGCATCTTCTTCAGCAGAATTGTGTGGCTCCTGTTTAAGGCAAGATTTTAAAGAAAGGTTCAGAATTTCACAATTTGCAATTGATTAACTTCACTCGCTAATTACACAAACACTGCAGTCTTCAAAATCTATTAACTTTTTTTTATAGGAATAAACTTATATTTTTCAACAGGTAAAACTCTCACTAAAAATCCTGCAACATGTTTCTATTATTAACCTACCAAATTTAAAAGACCCAACCAAACATAGAAGGAACCTTATTGTAAACTTAAAGTAGTGTTTAATTTTATGATAATGAAAACAGCCAAAACAGCATTTTATCCAATTTTGAGACTGAAAGGTTTTGTACCTGAAGAATATGAACAGGTAAATCTACTGTCAACTGAGAGTGTGAAGAGGAAGATTGAGAACTGAGCTGGAAGGGTAGATCTCCTTCTCCTGGAGAATCATCCTAGCACCAAAGGAATCAAAATTAGTTTCTAACTACAAACCGTATTCTCCCATCCAAACCACCAACTGGTCATTCTTTACAAACATGTGGATGTGCTTAAAAGCAGCTAACATATATTTATATACTTAACAAAACACTTTAATAATGTCAATTAGGAGCCCCACACACTTTCACCTTGGCAACCTAAGTTATATCATTGTCTAACACTGACTTAATAAACACATATTTATTAATAACTTCTATTACAATCAACTTCTTTCAGAAGGCATACATTGTCAGTGTTAAATATTTTGCTAAAGGAAGACCATTCCATTTTTGTTTGCAGAATAAGCATATAGCCAACTTGATTTTAGTATTGTCCATTTGGTAATACCATCCATGGTGCCATATCTGAGATTGCCAGAAGAAAAAAGAAACTGGAGAACCAGTTTGGTGTAACTGTGATGATTAAAGTGATGGCCTATAAATCAGAGTTCTAGACCTGCCTTAGGCATGAACACCAGCTGGATAACTTTGGGCAAGTTACTCTCTCACAGAGTTACTCTCTCTTTGTTGTGAGCAAAAGAAGAGCTGTTCCAAGTAATGCTGCCTCTATAGCATTTTTTTTTTCTATTGCAAGTAGTGCTCAATTGAGACCAGTAACTTTGTGTCACTAAGTGACATGGTTATTAAGCAAAACATCACATGACTGTGACTTGTGATTTTGCTATTGGCTTCTCCATTGATTTCACTTCTCAAAAGCTGGTCATGAAGCAACCTGAACGTATGACCGGGAGGGGTGCTGGCCGTAAGTGCAAGGACCTGTCATAAAGTTACTTTTTCAGTACTTTTGTAACTTCGGACATCACTAAACAGAGCTGTTGTTAAGCAAGGACAACCCGTATTCCAAATGCTATCTTAATTTCAACTTTAGCATTCTAGGCAGTTCCTATACCTATATGACATTATTTGGTGGCATGTTAGTAAGGCGCTACAACTGATTGGCTTGGCTTGATTTTGAATTTATGTCATTCTACTGTTTGGGAACTTTGAGCCCTTTGACATCCATCTATTCAGCAATGCTGGTGCTCAATTTCATCTATGATTTTTCTTCTCTGAAGTAGAAAATCTGATTCTTCTCTGATGCAAAGTGACTCATTCCATCTCAATATTTAAGTTTGCCGGTTCCTATAATGTAAACACTGAATCTCAATATTTCTAATCTGACATGAAATATGTCCCAGTTCATGGTTCTGACGTTCCATGTACCAGGAGCACATTTATTACTGCAGCTGTGTACCAGGGAAATTTTTAGTAGCACATCTCTTTTTTCAGATAGAGAAATCCTATAGCCACTTAGTGGAGGAGCACAAAATTGCACCTGAATTTATTTTTCCCCTTTATTAACTGCCAAAATTTATCTTTTTGCACTTCTATGTTATTTATTGCCAGCATCCTTCAAAGAAATAATAACTGCAAATATTTATTTCTGAAGGAAAAGGGTGGCAAAAGTTATTTGGTTAAAAAATCAAGATGGAAATTTTAGACATGTGATTTAAGAAAAAAGCATTGTTAACTTAAACTTTGCAATTATTTCCTAAGCAGAACTTGGTTTACTACACCAAATCATAACATACTTGCTCTATCCAGCTATCTCCACCAACATATTGTATCACATATCCCAGTTACATGTTCCTGAAAGAAAAAAGATTATTTTCCGTGAGTTAAATTGCCAATTGTTACCTGAAGCAATTGAATTTGAACAAACTGTGTGCCAGCCGAAGGATCTCTTACTGTTAGATTTCCATTAGGCAAAATACTGTTGCATAACCGATTTCCGTGACTAAAACAATTAACTTTATCATTTTTGCTTTTTCTTATAGCAGAATCAGTTGAGCCTGAAATAAAAAGGTGGCATTTGTAAATATAAAGCTGCATTCTGAAGTAAATTTTATCATATGTCTGGAAATACTTCTCCTAAACAACTTTGAATGCAAGGTCTTACCATGTATGGAGCAGATTATTTAAGCACTGTTGTTAAGCATATTAATAGTTGAGAGAATGGGCAATTTCCACACCTATTCATTCCATGGTTACTTTCATCTTCTAAAATTTTGTTCCTAAGAATTGGGAAGTCTTTCAGAATAGGAGGAAAGATTATATATACTCTTATATATTCACTTGACTTGGAAAGGAAGAATTATAAAAATTTACCTAATATAAAAATGTAAACAGTGATGTTTCTGTCCTGTATCAAGGCCTGAAATTTGACTAAAAGGGGTCCAGATAATCAATTTCAACCAACATCCTCTGGAATTGAAACTTTACAATCTTCTAAACCAAAGATTGGATGAAAATTGTCCACAACAGTGGGGCCCAGTAGTGGCTTCTAGTGGACAGGGTACATTAGTGCCTCTTTAAAAGCTAAATATCCCCTCCCATCAAGGATGAATTCATCATTGATTGTGGGCGGCTAGGAGGGACATGGATCTAGCAGCTAGGAGGGACAAGGATCTAGCTCACAGATGATGGTATTTACAGTCCAAAGGAAGGATCCTGCCCACTTCATCAGGTCCAATAGAATAAAACTGTCCAAGATAATGGGTTAAGCCTATTCCATAGGACTTGAACCATACTTGGCATCCACCTGATCCCGATCCAGCCAATTTTATCTATCAGTTGCACATGAAGTTCCTCTGCATGGCTCTGATTGTCAGAGCTGCCCCAGTCTGATCCCTCAGAGAAGTAAAACTCTCAACTCCATTTGAAGTGAAAAGGCACTTTTACTAAGAGGTGCTTGATTGCAGAAGAGTCAAGGGGAATCTAAAATGGAGAACTAAAAGCCCTGATTTCCCCTAGCCTCCCCACAGGGATAGGCGAGGCATAGCCAATCCAGCACTGCCATGACGTTTTGAGGTGCTTAGGCTGGTGAAATTCCACACACAGTGCAAACAGCCTTGAAGAGCCAATGTGCCCTGCACTAAGCGGATTCCAAACTGCTCTGTTCTTCCTCAACTATCAATGCCCCCTAGTTCCCACAATAAACAGCTTTATTGCCTATCTGTTCCCCCTTCCTTCCCCAACGGATGACAACAAGCCGAGGCTCCTTTTCAGCTCCCTCAAGTCCACAGGGAGCAACAGGCCAAGAGAGTTTGAATGGGCACCATCCTGTCCAAGGCTCTGGCTACCTCCCTACTGAAGTAGCTGCCAGAGCGTCCATAGGACTATGCAGGTCATCAAGTATTATCCCCAGCTCCCTTGTAATTGCCATAAAGAAGACTGGAAGTGCTCTTTAGCTTTCTTTTTCCTTTGCTCATCTGTACTGTTTCTATCATTTTTTCTACTTTATATACTTTTTCTCTTGGTTTTTTTTTTTAATTATGTAAAAACTCTTGATAAAATTATACACACACACACATATAAAGAGAGAGAGAATATGAGTTGTTCTGAGCAAGAATTTTAAATACTGTAGCCTACAGCAACCCAAATAATCCCTCAAATGCCGTAGCCTACTCCCAACCCAAATAATCCCTCTGTAAATAGTAGTTCAATATGTATTTCAGCAAGCAGTTTGTTTGCGTGGATGTGTTCAATTGTGTTTTTCAGAGGTCTGGTGGGTAAGGTGCCTATAGGTAATGTGTGCTTGACTGTTTCAACTTCAAGGATCTAGAATATATTTATATTCTGCAGATGAAATGCATCTCACAAAACTAAAAAATGTCCTGTACAATCAAGATAATTATTCCAATAGGAGCTTCAAAATTGGAGTAGCTGTGAGCCATCTGAAGGCTTGCCATTTTTTAATGCCATGTGCTCTACAAGGGGCTGCCCTTGAAGAGCATCTGGAAGCTCCAGCTGGTGCAAAATGCAGCGGCCCACATGGTTTTGTGCAGACCCCAGTGTGCACATGTATCACCTCTCCTGTGGGAGCTGCACTGCTTGCCAATTTGCTTCCGAGTGCAATTCAAGGTGCTGGTTGTCACCTTTAAAGCCCTTCATGGCTTGGGACCAGGTTATCTGAGGGACCGTCTCTTGCCGGTCACATCTACCTGACCCACCAGAGCAGGGAGGCAAGGAACGTTGTGGGTCTCATCCCCGGGGAAGATACATCTGGTGGGGCCCAGAAGGGCCTTCTCCATGGCAGCTCCCTTTCTGGAACATCATTCCCCCAGAGATTAGAATGTCCCCCACTCTAACACTCTTCCAGAAGGCGCTGAAGAGCTTGGTTCTGCCAGCGGGCCTGGGGAACACAGAATGGGATGGAGCTCATTAAATGGCTCGTGTGATGTGTTGTTGCCGGGGCAGGGGGTTATTTTATTATATTATTATATTAATTTATTATATGATTCTCTCTTTTATTAGTTTTGTTTTTTATATGAGGTTTTTATATTCTTGTAAGCTGCCTTGAGTAGCCATGTGCGAATAAGCGGCAATATGAATTTCCTAAAATAAATAAATAAATATAGATTTAGATAATATTGCAAATTTTAAGTTGTAAATGCCACTCTATTTAAGTGTGTGTGTGTGTGTGTGTGTGTGTGTGTGTGTGTGTTGAATCCTAGCCACAGCCTGGATAAGTTCCTGCCGTTTTCTTGGCAAAATCTTTTGGAAGTGGTTTGCCCTTGCCTCCTTTTAGGGCTAAGAAAGAGTGACTTGCACAAGGTCACACAGCTGGCTTTGTGCTAAGGCAGAACTAGAACTCATGGTCTCCTGGTTTTTAGTCTGATACCTTCACCACTATACCAAACTGACTCTCTAATCAACTTAGTATCATTGCTAAATTTACAATCCTATCTTTAGATCCAGTTTGGTGTATACACACAATATACTGTACTAAATAATTAATACTCACCTATGTCACTCCCATTTCCCTTTTGTTTTCTTTTTTTGGCAAGCTGAATAGCTCGGTAATCTGTTCTTGCAGACCCACCACTCTCCTGACGAGATAAAAGGGTTTGTTCACATCACTAAATCCAGGTTAGATATGCAGCTTTTCATTATGAATTCCATTTCCCCCCTAATAACATGTATTAATCCCTAACAGCTTCCTTGTTTATATTGAATTCTGTGTAGCATCCTTCTGGTTAAGTCCATAGGAAAGGAGTCCCTGTTTATTTTACTCTGCTAGATGTCGCTGACTACAAGGGTGGTGTTCATCTTCGTTTCAAGGCCGTTGATTCAGTACTATCCGAAAATGTGTCTGCAGTCATGTGGCCAGCATGATGTCACGGAGCACAGTTTCCTCCCCATCAAAGTGGTAACTATTTATCTACTTGCATTTGCATACTTTTGAACTACTAGGTGGGCAGGAGCTAGGCAAAGATGGGCACTTGTCCTGTTGCACAATGCTCAGGTTTCAAACTCTGGTTGTTGGCTTTTCAGCCAACAAGCCCAGCATATTAACCACTGAATCACTGCAATGCCTCACCTATGGTTAAGTCCATAGACAAAAGAAATTTCCCTTACTTTTATAAAACACCAACATTTGCTGATATAAAACCCCACACAACAGATTATTTTTCAGAGGGGTCTGCAGAAAAAAAGAGACATTCTATGCACATGCTATCTTTGCATGCAGTCCTGTATATATGTCCGTATATATTTTAATAAGATAAGTCATGCAATCAAAGGCATATTTCAATAGTATGAGGGAGAAAACAACATCTAAACAAGGGCAAAACTTTAAGAAACGTCTTTTTCTGTAAGTGTGGAATATAGCATACTTTTTCATCACTCAATCCCAAAGTGCTACCTAGTTTTAAATATTTACAATTATTTACAACGAGAAGGAAGTAACAAATAAAATTAAGCTTTGATCCTAAGCTTCTGCTATGAAAAAGACTACCCTCTTTCACTCAATATGATGCACAACATGTAACAGCATTGATTCCCTTTCACAGGCAGAAATAATTTATGCCACTTACATTATACAAAATATATGGTGACTTCACTCAGGGCAGACACTCCATAAACTTTTTTGATCTGGTAGAGTGCGACTCACAATGACAATATCCTCAAAACCAAGATACTAATAAAAACTAGTTATTTAGAGTTATTGCATACCGGAATAGAGTTGCCAGTCACCGTGCTTAGATCAGTTTCTTTTTGTGCACTGTAACTTCCGGAAGGATTGGAGAACACATACTGAGTGACCACTTTGCTGCCTTCTTGTTGCTCCACAACATCCAGGCTAGGAAGTAAAGTTTGCTCTGCTTTATTTGGAGCTAATAATTCAGCTGTATTGTTTCCACCAAGACTGCTGGAAGGGGATAAAGTGGCTGTGTCTACTGACAAGTTATTGCTAGAAGTCAAACCATGCAAGTCTTGACTGGAACTTCTCGCTGACAAAGATGCTAAGGAGCCTAAGGCTTCTGCATTCACCGTCTGTACTTCATCCAGATTTAAAGTGCTTTGCTGTAAAACGGTGGTGGTGGTTCCCAATAAAAGAGAGCTATCCAGGCTGTGGGGAATGTCACTACTAGCCACCAAAATCAGTGGGTCAACTGTCTGAGCAAGGGAATTGCTACTGACAGACATACTGCCTCCAAGCGTAGAGCCTACTGAAGCAACATCTATAGTAAGAATTCCAGAGTTTATTACAGCCATATCAGCTGAAATTCCAGAGGAGTTCCCAGATACACTAGAAAAAAGGGAAACCAGATCTACATTGTTGAGGTCACTTTGTCCTGAATTGGCAAGTTCACTGCTAGGCGTGAGGGAACCAATGGTTTCCATCTGATTTAATAGATCTGAAACAAAACAAAACATGTTTATAAGATTACCTAGTTAGTGTAATAGGTACCCTACAAATCTTGCCTCCTTCCTCTCCCTCCAATTTGGCTACATATCCTCATTCCAAGAATCTATATCTTGCTTTTTCCGATCAAAGCAGCCAACTCATTAAATTTAGAAGAAAACAGTACAGGTAGTCCTCAATTTATGACCACAATTGAGCCCAACATTTATGTTGTTAAGTGAGAAATTTGTTAAGTGAATCGCTGCAGTTCTTAAACTAGTAACACAGTTATTAAGTGAATCTGATTTCCCCACTGACATTGCTTGTCAGAAGGTTGCAAAAGGGGATCACATGACTCCAGGACACTGCGACCATCATAAATGTGAGTCAGTTGTCAAGAATCCAAATGTAAATCATGTGACTATGAGGATGCTGCAACAGTGTGAAAAATGGTCATAAGTCACTTTTTTCTGTGTCGAGGACTACATGTAGTGCCAGAACTCAATATGCCATGGTAATGTAATTTTGTTAGGATTTCAGATAATCTCTACTTCCTGCTAGCACATATTCAGACCTCAATAATATGATATGCATCCCTAGCAAAATGGATGGTGCTAAAAGTGATTTTCACACAGCTAGCAGTAAGTGCCAGCAGTATTTACAGAAGGTGTGAAGGAAGGCATTGTTGTGTTAGCACTAACTTTAAGTATGAGTGTTATGGTATCTCAGTACATAAAAAGGGCACAAGTCCCACCTCTCCTGCATGCTTATTTTGCTATTATGTAGGAAAGGCAGAACTTAGGGCAAAATGCAACAGTGCTTTTGTCACGCTCAGCTTGCTAATCTTTGTTGAACCAAATAGAAAAGCAAGTCACACAGAATACTAGAATGTTGACATGAATATTTAGAAGACATTTTCAATAATAAAGAAGATATGAGTACTAGTATCAACTGAGAAAACCTTTGAGTAATAATCCAAAACAAATGATTGTTTCATTGCCCACACTTAAGTGACCCATTTATTTTGCATTAAATTTTTGTTTCTCCTAATATATCCACTTCTTGCTGCCATTGAACAAAGTGACATAATCACCTTTGTCCAAATATGCTTTTTAAAGAGGCAACTGGATTTTCTTGTTTTTCTTTGACATTTCACTTCTCATCAAAGAAGCTCTTCAGCTCTGACTGGATGATGGGGAATGGAAGGATATATATTCCTTGCAGATAGCTGGTCCATCTGCAAGGAATATACACTGCTCAAAAAAATAAAGGGAACACTTAAACAACACAATGTAACTCGAAGTCAATCACACTTCCGTGAAATCAAACTGTCCACTTAGACAGCAACACTGACTGACAATCCATTTCACATGCTGTTGTGCAAATGGAATAGACAAGAGGTGGAAAGCATAGGCGGTTAGCAAGACATCCCCAATAAAGGAGTGGTTCTGCAGGTGGTGACCACAGACCACTTCTCAGTTCCTATGCTTTCTGGCTGATGGTTTGGTCACTTTTGAATGCTGGCGGTGCTTTCACTCTAGTGGTAGCATGAGACGGAGTCTACAACCCACACAAGTGGCTCAGGTAGTGCAGCTCATCCAGGATGGCACATCAATGCGAGCTGTGGCAAGAAGGTTTGCTGTGTCTGTCAGCGTAGTGTCCAGAGCATGGAGGCGCTATCAGGAGACAGGCCAGTACATCAGGAGATGTGGAGGAGGCCGCAGGAGGGCAACAACCCAGCTTCACGACTGCTACCTCCACCTTTGTGCAAGGAGGGACAGGAGAACTGCCAGAGCCCTGCAAAATGACCTCCAGCGGGCCACAAATGTGGCTGCTCAAATGGTCAGAAACAGACTCCATGAGGGTGGTTTGAGGGTCCAATGTCCACAGATGGGGGTTGTGCTTAAAGCCCAACACCGTGAAGGACGTTTGGCATTTGCCAGAGAACACCAAGATTGGCAAATTCGCCACTGGCACCCTGTGCTCTTCACAGATGAAAGCAGGTTCACATTGAGCACATGTGACAGACGTGACAGGGTCTGGAGATGCCGTGGGGAACGTTCTGCTGCCTGCAACATTCTCCAGCATGACTGGTTTGGCAGTGGGTCAGTAATAGTGTGGGGCGGCATTTCTTTAGGGGGCCGCACAGCCCTCCATGTGCTCGCCAGAGGTAGCCTGACTGCCATTTGGTACCGAGATGAGATCCTCAGACCCCCTGTGAGACCATATGCTGGTGCGGTTGGCCCTGGGCTCCTCCTAATGCAAGACAATGCTAGACCTCATGTGGCTGGAGTGTGTCAGCAAGATGAAGGCATTGATGCTATGGACTGGCCCGCCTGTTCCCCAGACCTGAATCCAATTGAGCACATCTGGGACATCATGTCTCGCTCCATCCACCAACACCACGATGCAGCACAGACTGGCTAGGAGTTGGGGGATGCTTTAGTCCAGGTGTGGGAGGAGATCCCTCAGGAGACCATCCGCCACCTCATCAGGAGCATGCTCAGGCATTGTAGGGAGGTCATACAGGCATGTGGAGACCACACACTACTGAGCCTCATTTTGACTTGTTTTAAGGACATTACATCAAAGTTGGATCAGCCTGTAGTGTTTTTTCCACTTTAATTTTGAGTGTAACTCCAAAAACAGATCTCCATGGGTTGCTAAATTTGATTTCCATTGATAATTTTGGTGTGATTTTGTTGTCAGCACATTCAAAGTTTTTAATAAGAATATTTCATTCATTCAGATCTAGGATGTCTTATTTTTGTTCCCTTTATTTTTTTGAGCAGTGTATATATATAAATCCTTCCATTCTCCACCATCCAATCAGAGCTGAAGAAGCTTTTTGGATGAGAAGCGAAATATCTTCAAAGAAAAACAAGAAAGTGCAGTTGCCTATTGAAAAAGCATCTTTGGGGCAACCATGACCTGGATGACTGAAAATCTTCATATAATCATCTTTGCCTCTTTTGATAGGCATTCATTATTTGAAAGAGATTGCTTAAAACCCAACACTCATATTCCTATCTTTCATAAACATTTTATCAACATTCTTTTACTTGCTCTTATTCTTGCCATCTGTGTATAGCCTGCTATATCATTCACTCATTTTCTTTGTTAAATATAACTACTTTGGCCTTTGATACATTAATTTTCAGAGCCACAATCCTGGTTATCATAAAATTGCCACTTACTACTGACTACCTATGAAAATACATAATATTTTAGCAAACAATACCTCTTGTAATTACAATATTTTCTTTATTCATTTATCTTTAAATAATCAAGGAGGATCATTCACTCATCCTTGGATAACTCACTCAATTCTGAACAATCTAATAAGTATTCTAGTTTTCATTACTTATTACATTTAGCAAATGATCAACATTATGTTGATATAAAATGTCTTATACCTCAAAATCATTTTATTATATGCTTTCTGTAAAAATCAATAGTAAATGTTTTTAATGTTTATACATATATAGTTTAGTTTAGTTTACTTTATTGTCATTGCACCTCGGACAACGAAATCAAACTCCATCTTCAGTGCTAGATATAAAGTATCTACAAAATATCAAAACAGTTATATGGACCCAAATAATTAGCGTCAGTGAAATGAAGACATTTTCTTGCAACATCTTTTGATAAAACATATTCTATACATTATTCAAATCTCCAGCTAACTCAAGTCTTCTAATATAGCAGATCATACCTGCATTAAAGTTGTGTTGCTTGACCATATGTGTTTTCATACTATGCTTTGAATTGAATAACTTGCTACAACTGGATACTGGGCAACGCATCTTCAATGAGTCCACATCCTGAAGGTGTTTTTTGGAGTGAATATATAGACTACTGCGTGCTGAGAACTTTGCACAACAACCTGAAATATACAACAACTGCATCACAGTTGTAATATATACTTATCGATTTAAACCGTATTATAAGTTTCCTATGAGATTGCAGTCAGCACAATTTCTCACAATTCCTTATTTCTAGGCCTGTTTTGATTCCCCAGATTTTTCTTTCAATTTTTAATGATGTATAGATTAAGCCTCAAATAAGTGACAAAGTGAAGGCACTGCTAAGCAGTCTGAATTGGTTTTAAGCATTGTATTTGTGTATCACACTCCTAAAGAGGAGCAAGAAAGACATAGCTAAGCAAAGAGCTATAGACTGACAGCAAAAATTACCTTTGAAAGGTGATCTTACAAATTTTAGAACAAAAGCTATGTGATACCAGCTTCAAAAGCTTGTGAGAACCCTGCATGCAATTCAGAGCCAGATTAACTAAAACAACTGCACTATTCAACTATGGTTGCATTTATCAAGGCAGTGGAAGCTTTAAATATAATAGAGAATTTAAATCTTCATTCTGCCCCCACTCTAATTTTATTTTATTTTTTTACTGGTGGATGTCTATAATCCCTAAAAATGAAAAAGAAGTCTTGAAATTAAATAATTTTTGAAAGACCAGCATGCCTTTGGAAGAAAGATTTACTTAGCTCCTTCTTCACAATTATGTTGAACTTTGAAAGTATTTTCTTTCCTGTCATGGGATTCAGTAGCAATCCTTTTGTCTACATAATGTCCAGTTTGGTCTTGTATACATATCATCAATCTATGCAGAAACAGAATCAATCGTAATACCTTCCACGGGGCATTCAAATGGTTTTGTACCAAGATGAGTTATACTATGGCCTTTCAAATGTTCTGCTCTGGTAAAAGATTTTCCACAACCTTCTACAGAGCATGTGAATCTCCTGTCATCTTCATGTTTCCTAGGAGAGTAATTAAATTGACGTTAACATCAACCACTTCATACACAGAACTGAGAAAATCATACATTAATAGATTGAAGTCTGATAAGTTTGTAAAGCCTATTAATAGACTTAACTCCAAAATGTTTTAGCTAAGGAGACTACTTAATTTAAAACAAAGTCTATTTATATTAAGAGCATTTATTAAAGTTCATTTTCCATTACTGAATTTATAACTCCATAAACTTAAACTGCAGATTCTTTAAAGATTTGTATACAATATGTGTATGGCAATGATTTTCAGATCAATCATTTAGAACATTTACCTTTTATGTCTTAATAGCTTAGACATACTGGTAAAGGACCAGCCACAGCCTTCAAAGTCACAAATGAAAGGTCTTTCTCCTGGGGGAAAAAATGGGATAAAAAAATTGTGAATACAAAAACTAACACATTTGTTTTCAAAAAATCCTAATCTTATTAGCATTTATATTCATTAACTTCTTTACATTGATGATTTTACCAATCAAATTCTTTACAAGATATAATTAAATCCTTGCCTATAAACAGATGATCAGTTTTTTAAGGATAGCATCCATCCAATCGACGCAATTGTTCTTTAAGCCAAACTTTAATGTTAATGCAAACTTTAACAGTACTCTAGTTCACACCTGTATGACTTCTCATGTGGATTTTCAGCCGGCAAGCTTTGTCATATTGCTTGTTACAGCCTGGGAAGGAGCAGGAAAACAATTCTTGTTCCCTGAAGTGGACTCGATTATGAGAAAATAATGCACTCACTGTTATGAAGGTCCTCTCACAACCTGGAGAAAAAAGGAACAGTTAACCATGTTCCCCAGGATAGCAGAAACAAACAAAACAAGCGGCTTCAATAGCTCCAAACAATATGTTACAAATAAATAAAACCACAATTTTCAAAAGCAGATTATTGCCAGGCACCATATGCTGCTAAAAGCCAATAAAGGAATGTTTTCATGTTCAATTTCTACATCTTCCAGCTAAAAGTTTTTGAAAATAGAATACCAGCAGATGTATTCTGCTCAATGCACCTAAGTTATAACGTAAAAATCTATTATCTGACTTCCATTCTACCATAATATGGCCACCAAGGTATCTAGAAATTATAAAAACTGAGATCCAGCATTTGCAGAGGACTACAATGGGAAAGGATGCTTTCCCATTAGATGTTCCTTTTGATAACCTATATAACATTAAACTAGACTTGCAACAAAAATTCCAAAGAATAATAAATTCACATATCACCTTAAAATCAGTGTACCACAATGGGAGGTATATTACATTGAGATTAAAGAGATCTGAGTTCAAATAAGAAAAAATATGGTAAGTATGTAGAGAGGTAATATATTTCTGAATATTCCCACTTATAATCAGAACAGGCACACCACATTTCACAAAATTGCCTTTTCCCCTAAATGGTACTCTTATTATAAATTCAACTATGGTAGTCCACAAAGCCTTTTAAAAACTTTCTGTAATAAATCATGTAATTAATTTAAACAGAGTATATTTTATTTCAAATTGTACTGAATGAAAAGGGATTATTTTCCATGTGAACATATATAGGATTGCAAATCTGTCAGCCACTCCAGAAATTCAGAAAGATATTAGTTCATACCAAAGGTCACAGAAAGATTCATGGGTATTTTTTCTGATAACATGTTCAATATATAAACATACAGAAAACACACAAAATAATAATACAATGGAGATTTTAATACTGGGAATTAGTTTAAGGCTGAAGCTATTATCATATAATAATACTTCGATGTGAGTTTGTGAATTGCAAGATTTTTTTTTGTACTTTGTACAAGTAGACCTCAGCATATGTGCTTTTTTTCAGTGACCATTCAAATTTATAGTGACTTATGACTAATTCTCAAAGCTGCAGCCACTGCAGTGTTCCCGCAGTTATGAGATCACAATCCAGATGTTCTGGTGCTTGGCTGGAGATTATGACATTGCAGCAAGCCTTATTATGTGATCAACATTTATGACCTTTCAATATGGAAGCTGGCAAGGAAGATTGCAAATTGCCCTAGAGCAGGGGTGTCAAACTGGTGTCCCACGGGCCAGATGTGTCACGCATAGGCCACACTCACCCCAGCTCTGCAAATGGGGAAAACATTGTTAAATCTCACTTGACGACAACATGACATGGCGAGTTTGACACGGTGCCCTAGAGAGTTGCTCCAACTGCCTTTTCTCCTTGAGGAGCCAGCTATGGAATCCAAGAACCTTGGGATCTTACACTCTGCAGCACCTCACCCACACTTTAGTGCATGCCTGCCCACAGCACCCTGCCCTTTGGCCTCTGCCACCCCTTCTATGCCTCCAACGGCCCTCCCATAGCCCCTGCCAATTTAGCATGACATCTATGCACCCTCTCTACACTCCTGAGTTGGGGTTCTCATCTCTTCCTATTAAGCACTTGCAGGTCCTTGAGTTGCAATGGCAACCAGAACTGCTGGTCGCTAAGCAGTGCAATCACATGACATCTTTTAGCAATTTTCCCAACTGCAGTCATAACCCAAGGACCTCCTGCAGTCAACTACGGATTAAAAGTTAAATAATTGTATGCTTCTAACACTTTCAGGGATTTGTTTTTTTTTTCACCTTTCTCTCTTTATTTTCAATTCTTTAAAAAAAATTAAATAATAAAATGTTAAATGTATGTATTGATTGTATTGTCGCCTTGAAATCTGCACAGAAATAATACAACGATCTTGATTTGCTATTTTACAATGAAGTATCGTATCAAGGAGTATTTCTGTTTCCGACATTAACTGGAATACACATTTTGCAAAACTGAAAATCCGTAAGTAACTACACTACACACCCTCGACTTAAAATGGCCCTCCTTTTCTCCCCAGTTCGTGTCAGCAACGCTACACGCGAGCAGTTTGCCCAAACCAACCAGGTCCGGGTCGACCAGATTACCTGGATACTCGCAGCGGTAAGGCCGGTCTGGCTCCAGGTGGCTCCGCCGCTGATGCGCCCCGAGCCGGGCGGCGCTGGGAAAGCGCTGTCCGCAAGCCTCGCACTTGAGCCTCGCCTCTTCCTCGTGAGCCCTGCCGTGAGCCCGAAGGTTGTAGATGGTGGTGAAGCGCTTCGTGCAGCCCGGTGCGGAGCAGGCGAAGGGCCGCAGCTTGTCGTGGGAATGCAGGTGGCGCCGCAGCTTGTAGGCCGTGGCGAAAGCCCAGGAACAGCCCGGGACCGGGCAGCTGAAGGGACGCGCCGCCCGGCCGGCGCCTGCCGAGGGAGCCGCAGCTGCTGCGGCCTCTCCGCCCTCCTGCCCAGCGCCGGTTGGGTTCCCGCCCCGCGCCGACAGTTGATGCAGCCGCAGAAGCTGCTTGCGAGAAAAGGTCTCGGCGCAGTGGGAGTCCGGCCGAGGATATGACGCCGGAGCCTTCGAAGATGCAGCCGGGGGCTGGACGACGTCGTCGCTCGGCTGAGCCGGAGCAGGCGGAGGAGCTGCCGGCCCGCCGAAGCTAAGCGTCCCATTTTCGAAGCGCACCAGCAGGCTCTGGTTGTTGATGGTCAGCGTGCCCGAAAAGGAGGAATTCCCCTGGCCGCATCCGCCGCCGCCGGCCTCCTCTTGCGGCCCGCCGCCCTCGGAGAGCGGCGCCGAGGCCTGCCCTTCTCCGCCCGCCTTGCCCTCCCGCGGCCGCTGCGCCGGCGGGGAATCCTGAGAGGAGCCACGCGAGGGGCTCCCGGAGGCTCCGCCCCGCACCAAGTTAAGCACCAGCAGCAAAGCGTCACTTTCCGGCGGCTGCCCGGGGCCTCCGGCTGGCGGGGACGAGGAGGCGGGCGTGGAGCCCGAGCTAGCAGGTCCCGGCGGAGGCGGCGGCGGAGGCGGCAACTGCTGAGGCGGCGGCGGCGGCGGAGGCAACTGCTGAGGCTCCGGCAGCTTCCCTTCGAGGAGCAGCAGCACCGGGAAAGTCACGTCCAGGCCCCAGGCCCCCGCTGCCGCCGCTCCCGCAGAGTCACGAGGCTGAGGAGGTCGGCAAACAGGCTCTGAGGAGGGAGCCCCGTCGTCCGCGGCGGCCGCACCGGCGCCATGTTGTTGGGTGGCGGGCTCAGGCTGGGCCGCCTCCGCGGCGGCAGGCAGCCCCTGCGTTTCCATCTTGGGGGTCCCTGTAGCAGCGGCTGAAACCGGAGCCCGCGGGGCGGAGCCGGCCAAGAGAGCGGAGAAACCCGGAGCGCGGAGCACAGGAGTGGAGTCGATCCTGCGCGGCCGAGTGTAAAACCAGGAAGTGGTGCAGTCGGGGAGGAGATCCTGAAATTTCAAAGCATAACTAAAACGGAAGAGGGGGGGGAATGCCCCTTTGCATGAGGTTTTATGCTCCTTGGTAAATGGTGATCTCGTCATCATTCATTACCATATAGATAGATTAGCAGAGTTGAAAGAGACCTTGTAAGTCGTCGAGTCCAGAGGGCGCCAACCTTCTGGACTTCAGGGACCACCAAACTCAATTTTAAATCCCACGGACCAGAGACCCTGGAGAAATCCCCCCCAAAAAGTCTGCAGGGAAATTCCTACTGATCGATCATTCTTTATTTCAGATCGCAGGATACTGACTCCAGCTCCGTTCTATGGGAGGGGGAGAGAGAGAAAGAGTTTTGGCTTCATGCAAAGAAAGCAGAAGTCTTTCTTTCTCTCCCCCAAGCTCTGCCAGAAATGAGTCTTTGTGAGACTTGTTGCACCAGCACAGCCTTTTGGAGCAGGGTGCCTTGCAGGGTCCCCAAGACTTATTTCTGGTGGAGTTTGTGGGACAGAAAGATTTTGCTGCTTTCCTTGCGTGCAGCCAAAAGCAGAAGAAGAAAGAAGCAGTCCGGTGGCCAGGCCTGTGGAGCAAGTGGGACAACTTCTCCCCCTCCGCCCTTTCCCCCCTCCCCTCACTATCTTGTGTTGTTCACAATGCAAGTGACGCAAGCCTTGTGTTTCCGCAGACCATGTGGGCGGCGCAGCCTTGTGTTCCCCCGCAGCCTGGATTAATTGCTTTGGGGGGTGTGTGCTTTGGGGGTAACATTTCTCTGCGGAACACCAGTGGTCCCCAGCCTACTGGTTGGCGACCACTGATCTAGTCCAACCCACTGCCAAGCAGGAGATCATAACCATTAGGATATTAGAGCAATGATTAACACGTAACTTATGTTAGATTCACTGGGCACCCACTCAAATCTGTATCTCCAAACACTGCTAACAATGGGCCTCGTAAATAAAATTTTGATTTGTGTAAAAGGTGTTTTCCCTTCATTCCACTTCCGCCAGGACTGTAGAGCTTTCATCAGATCTTTTCCTGGTAGGTAAACTGGCTGGGATTGCAGAATAATGTCAGAGAGTTCAGTTCTTGGTCCCTTGCCTTCAGATGTTTCATTATTACTGAAACTTCCATTTAAAAATACCTTCCCAAATTTAATCTCCTATAAAGTGACTTTCTTTCACATCCTTAATACACCCTGACCTTAATGTTTCCAAACCAGTTGTTACGACTTTCCAAAAGATTTGTGCTTGCCATTGTTTGCTGCCAACAAAGCAGCTACCTGTGTGTCAAAATAATGCCTTTTATTCTGAAGTAAATAATGTTGCTGGGCTGTTTTAAGCTTAATGCAAATAATGACTGTTTTTTCTGTAACATAGTTTTCAGTGTATACTTTGTTTAGTGATGTTTAGTCTGATAGGTCCCTTTAGGGAGGTGAACTCTAAAAAACCAGAAATAAAGAGTAACTGCTGTAGGAGAAAGAGAGGATTTACCTCCTTGTAGCAGTTAGCAGAGTGGTTTCCAAACATGATGTGAATTCTTCAGTTTACCTGTCCAGTTTAACATGTTGAGGAGGACAGTAAAACTGGAAAGGCTAAAAAGCTGGAGAAGAATAAACAATGAATGTAATGTTGGGTAGAGATTGAAAAAAGGGTTGCTGGGATGTATAAACTAAACTTATTTACTTATTGATTTTACACTGCATTCAGATGTAAAACCATTCAGTGTGGTGTACAGAGTTCAAAATATGGAAGTATGGAAAAACAGCAAGCTGGATGGTTGAGCAAGTGAAGGAAGTGGCAGTGAAATCTGGTTCCAGAAGGGTATTTTCATGGGCAAACACCCTTAAACTTGGATCTTCCCAATTGTAATGGAAAGCGAGATTGGTAGTATATACATTTAATAAGTCAGTGGGCTTGTAGGTCAGAGTATTGTATAGGAGGAGAACTGTCAATGAATCTTCTAAGAAAGAAGATGGTATGCATTCAGTGGTGGGATTCAAAAACATTTACTACCAGCTTGGTGGGCGTGGCTTAGTGGGCATGGCAGTGGAAGGATACTGTAAAATCTCCAATCCCTCCCCACCTCACTAACCCGCTTTCCAGCTCCGTTTCTCCTGTGCAGGGCAACAAAAGACCCAACTGATCAGCTGGGACTCGGGAGGCAGAGAATAGATGGGGGCAAGGCCAATCAGAAGTGCTTTTTGCCAGTTCTCCAAACTATTCAAAATTTCTGCTACTAGTTCTCCAGGACTGGTCAAAACCTACTGAATACCACCTCTGTATGCATTGTATATATTGAAAGAAAGCTGCTTCTTTAGTTATTATTTAAAGTTGTTGACATGTTTTATCTATTACCAATTCTCTTTCTACCTTATAGAACTGGACTGCAGATGACTCTTAGGCTGGACTCACACTTTGTGTTTTAACCAACCAATCTTTTTGACTAGATTATATTTTGCTAGTTTGCACAACACACTAAACCATAAGTCATTATTTACAAATCAACCACTGGGTTTACCCAACACATGAAGCAAAAGCCAGTTAAACCTGTCATGGAAATTGCCATAAACCATTTAAATAGCTAATTAAGGCAGTAGAACAACAACCATTAAAAATGAAAATAAGCATCCATTAATGTATGTTTTAAAATCTAAAATAAAAGAAGACACCACAGGTGGCAACTCTAGTAAATGTGCTTACAGCAACTATGGGCAGATATCCTGAAATAATCTCAAGCATGTGTGTGAAAGAGTGTGAAATCATATGAAAGAAAGTCAAACTGCTTAAGGACTTAGAGCAATAACCACCCCTTAATATTCTACTTGAAAATGACTTGGAAGTTGACAGGATGCTTTTAGCAAAGGTGCAGATATTCAGCAGGTTCTGACCAGTTCTGGAGAACCGGTAGCGGAAGTTTTGAGTAGTTTGGAGAACCAGCAAATACCACCTCTGGCTGGATATTTTGCAGTATCCTTCCACTGCCACACCCATCCAGCCACGTCCACAGAACCGGTAGTAAAAAATTTTGAACCCCACCACTGCGAAGGTATAAATGTGATGTCCTTGACTGGCTCCACAAATCAGTCTAGCAGCTGAATTTTGTGTAACTTTATTTATTTAGCATATGGCAAATACATGAACTTACAGTAGCTCAAATGTCAACGTCCAGTCCATCCAGCCATTCAAGGACAGGGCGGTCCACGCTGAAAAGTATCAGACACTGGACAAGTGCAAGCTCCTGATGGACACCCGGACACAACATGATGGATATTCTGCCGAGGTGCACCACAGTCACTCTCGGGCAGAGACAAGACCCCACTCAAACAGCGAGTCCTGGCAGACACCATGCTGGGCACAGATCCTGCTCAGAGCTGACCAATGCTGGCGAGGAATGCCAAAACCCAGCAACTCCCATGCAGGGCCATCCACACGTTTGCCTGCATCTAGGCGCCCAGCAGCCCACTGGCCTTCCACTGTGTGCCGATGTCAAAGCTGACAGACAGCTGCCAAGTGACTGCCAGAGAAGGCCCCCTGAATCCAAGCCTTTTGTGTAACAAAAGTTTCTGGGCTACATACAAATTCAGCCCTATTGCAGTCATCAGGCTGGAGGTTACCAGTTCTTAGTTGTTGGCTTTTAGAAAGGCCAGTTTTGTCTGTTATTAAAAAATGATAAAGGAACTCCTGGCAATTAGCACATAGAAAAAGAAAATATGGATCCAGAAGTGTCATTAAATTGGATTCCTGTTCCTTTGGGGGAAAGGTAACTCCAAGCGAAGCTGGAAGATTTTCCACTTATAAAGAAGGAAAGCAGAACTCAAATTTGTTGAGACTATTAACAAATCTACAGAGAACTCATAAAGAGATTATGTTATAGCCTGGGGAGATTAGTTAATGAAGCACGGCAGAAAAAGGTGCACTGACTTTCTGAGAAAAATTAGCCAGAGGGAATAGAAGGAATTGCATTCTGAATCTTTCACATGAAGGAAATGTGCTAATTCATGCCTGTCCAGATGGCCTCTGCATGACAGAATTGAAGCATCAAAGCCAGTTGGATACTGAATAGAGAATTATGAGGAACTAGCCAGGATCTAGTGTAGGCTTTCACAGATGGTATCTTTTGAGCATCTTCATTTACAGTTGCTGGTGAAACATCAGGAAATTTGCTATCTGTGCCAGTTACCAAAGCCTAAAGCCTAACATTGATCTTGCCAGGATTCATCTAAACCTAATTAATTTGATAACTAAATGATGTTTCTTTCCTTAATACACTCATATTGTTTGCTACAGCTTTCTTAGACTCCCTACAGCAGCATTCCAACATTTAGTGCCCTCCAAATGTCTTGGATTTTAATTCTGATCTTTGACCGTCTGACTTGAAATCCCACCCATTTAGAAAGAGAAAATTTGGCCTAGAATTAGCCAGGTGATACTACAGCTGAGATTTAGTTTTAAAAATATAGGAAATGATAAACTGTAGCTGTTTAATTATGAATTTCACCCAGTTATTTCAGTGAAGTTAAACAGATATTTAACATATGCAATTTGATTGGCAACTAAATACTGTAGAATGTATTATTAATTTATTTATTTAATTTATATACTGTATATATACTATGATATGCATTAAGACAAATTCCTTGTGTGTCTAATCACACTTGGCCAATAAAGAATTCATTCATTCATAAACGCCAGCATTATTTTGTATCATGAAATGAAAACAAATACGTTATTTTAACATCCCTGGGGAAAGAAGGGACCGGAGTTAAGTGACGCAATTAATTTAATGTTCAAATTTTCAAGCATAATGAACAGGCTACATTACCGTTGTAACAAAAGAACTACCTATATATCAAACTGCCCCCTCACATTATTAGTTATAATATAGTATTGTAATATTTTCTTATATTTTTCAAACAGTAGGTGGTGCTATATTACCTCCTATTTGCAAAATAAGCTAATTATTCATTGCTAAATATGCAATTGT